TCACATACATTTCATTTAAGTAGGGCTTAGTGGGTATTAAGCACATAAAACTTTAACTATTGAGGCCACTGAGGTCCCCTATAGGTATTTCTTTTCTTTATGATCTTTTTTATATTTACCTGCTTCAGTAATTGAAAAACAATATTGTTAAAAAAATTGTATGTTATTATCATATGAAATTTAATTTGAAAAAAGTTCAATTAAAAATTATCATCAATTTTCTAAACAGAAAGACGGATTGTAATATTTTCTTAAGAATTTTTAAGCAATGTTGAGAAACTCGGATCGATTGACATAAAAAATATTTCATCTGGATCAGATTATTTATTATAAGTTAATTGGAAATATGAGCTTGAGGTGAATATAGTGAAATTTTTCAACTCATGAAACCTCTTCCTATACCCGACTCTTCGTTAGTACTTATTCAATGAGAAATTTTGTTCTTTTATCAATTAACATACATAGTAGTATTTTTCCAATGCTTCTGTATTCTCTAAATTATTAAATTAATTATTTTCATACATTGCATGTATTTTCAAAAAATTCATGCAAATGTAGCTTTTTGCATATGGGGCGCATCAGTATATCGACTAATTGTGCCTTTCTAGCCCGCTCCGTTTAGTGTCTCGTTTTGGTCATCTCATCGAGGCATGAAGCTAATAAGGTGGTCATGTTCAATTATGTTTTAATCCCTCTAGAAATGTTTCGTGGCTATGCTGTGCATGATTTTCTTTGCTTTACTATATCATTTGATGGAATGCCAGGTAGATTTATATTCTCCTAGTTCCTGTAGGCAAAATGGTTTCGTATGCGAGGATATGTCTGACCATAATGCTGTAAATCCTGTGTAAAATTTCTTTTCGACAGCTCCACTTCTTAATTTCTGCCATCGTCATTTATGCACATATGTAGTCCTTTTTTCCATAGTAGTGCAAATTTGTTTTATGAAAGATTGTATTTAATTGTTTTGGTGATGTGTATCGGTATTTCGCAATATTCAGTGTCCTGTGAGTTATTTTGTCCATCGCGACACTATTTCTATTAATTGTTTTTCACCATAAGACAAAACTATTTATACATTGATTTTTTTAATGTGGAACAATTAGTCGCGCAATGGCTTATTAATCTATGTTATTTCCAGTATACATTTATGGTTGCACGTACTTTGTATTGACGTCTAGTAAATAACTTCATTTACATGCAAATCCTTTTCTGCAATCACTTTTCTCCGCCAGTCTGTTACTTATCCTAACTTATTTCGGCATTTGATCAAATGTCATCGCTGGGATTGAAAAATGCTGAGATGTCGATTCGCGATGAAGCACTGTCATGGAAAAAGCCATGAAATCTATGGTATGCGACAGCGGCTTTGAGCTAGCATTTCGTGGGGCCGTTCGCTTCCATTTTGCATGAAAGGTCGCTTAAGTAAATCATGGGTTATCCTCCGTGGTCTACGTTCCCTGATAATATGTCGACTATGATACATTTCTGATATATATTAAAATATATGAACCTTATTATTATTCAATAAGGGATTCATAAAACCATCGATTAACACAAATTATAAAATAATCTGCTACCATAAGTTACCTTGTTGACAGGATATGATAAAATAAAATTAACAATTTCAATTGAAGATACGAGGTTGGTTGTGTTTATAGGCCGTTTATTTACGTGTAGGTGTGAGGTCAATGTGAATGAACTCGTGTATCCCCTGTATATTGAGTATTAAGGGGTTAAATTATTCCTTTCGAGTGTTGAAACGACCCGTGATGATATAACTTCTTAATGGGGAGACAATGCGTAAAATCTTCTAAATCAAATTAGATCTCTATATTTACCCAAAATACCTACGGTTTGAATAAATATAAATAAATTACGCCAACGTTCGATAATTCTGTCCCTTTCATGTTTTCTATTCCAAAAGGAGTTTTATGAATTCTTATGCACCTTAAAGGATAGCTGGTTTGACAGTTAACATTACACATAAATGATACCACGCAATGCAAAATACGCATTTGTTTTCTATGAAAAATCATTTCTTGATTTAACGTTTCTTCGAGGTAAATATATTCAACTTGATTTCTCTCTCTCTCTCTCTCTCTCTCTCTCTCTCTCTCTCTCTCTCTCTCTCTCTNCTTCGCCCTCTCCCTCTCTATCTAGCAATTTTTGTCTGCTTTTTAGCAACGGTACAAAAAGAATGGTTGATAAAATTCACTTTGTTTAAAACGATTAACAATTTTTATTTCAACAGTTTTTGGTAGTTCGCGGTTATTTTATTATTTCCTGTAGCAAATTAATTTCTCTCTTCCCCGATTGTACAATCATCCAATCTCCGTTATTCATATTGACATTAAATTAAAATTACATTAAAATTATCATACATTTCAAAGAATGTACACATACATTGTGCACCCAAAGTGGGTTCACTGATCAGGACATTTGTCCTTTTTTTTACCCTTCCATTTTTTTGCGATATTTAAACGAAAGAGCTTTTTTCATTCATCAAATTTCTATTTTCATTCCCGATTCGGTCAAGCTTTGTTTGTTAAAAATATCCTGTAGGAAAAAATACTACTTATATGGTAGGATTTATCATATTGTTCATATTAAATCATCGGAAATTCCGTGAAATAACATGACGAAATATTTCATTGTATTATATTTGAACTTTGTTATTTTGTGTGGTTGTGTTTGTGGTTTGTATTCTTTTCCATGTCCGTAAATATTTTGGTGAATTGAGGATACAATCGACCGAATACCACCTTAATAACTTCAAATGGATTTTAAACAAAGTTATTTATCCAGGGGACAAAACATTTTCACGTTTTCATCCACGAAAAAATCCATGATAACAACGATAGACCTCGAGGTTTCGCACACGATGAAATCGTTGACAAAAACGCTCAGCCGAAGAATAATAGTGAAAAAGACGGACGAAATTTGGTTAGAATTCACCAAAATCCTTTCTAACGGGACCGTCAGGTCGGATGCTGTAAAATAAACGCGTACGGGTTCATTCAGCTGGCTCACTTGGTCGGAAAACACGACAATATATTTCATCGTCTCTGAAGAGCGCAATCTTGATCTCACCCCGTGGAAACCAGGGCAAAAAAAAAGACATTGGAAGCAATGCGGTAAAGGACCGAAAAAGAGTGGGGCCATCGTTCTTGTATAATTCAGAGATATTTCACTTTCCCAACTCTTGAGGGGTAGGACGGTTTGTACAAATGCCAAAAAAGGACGAGAAAAATGAAAATAAAAAATATCGCAAAGGGAAGATAAAGAGAGCGGACGGCAAGAATGGGAAAAAGTGGGAAAATGACATGTCTTTGCTTCTTTCATCGTCATTGGCTTGTGTGGCTGCGGCCCTGCGGTGTGAGAGGTTTGGGTGGTGCAGGGCATACGTGATGCGGCTGGAAGCGTGACTGGAATCCGGCTAAGTGAGTCCTAAGTCCTCAACGATATGCAAGACAAAACTAATGACTAATATAAAGCACGTGTTACGCCCTACATCCATTCCTATCCTCCCTTATAACGCCATTTTTCTTAATAATAGCACTACCTTTAAATCTCGAAAATTATCTTATCTTCATTTTTATTATCACGTATAGTACCATTATTTTCTTTATAGGATTCGTTTTTGACAAGACTTATGACACACATTTCATTCATATATATTTTTTTAATTATGTTATCCTTGTAATAAAGAGCCTAAAGCTGTGTATTTAATGATTAACGGTTGTACATTTTGTCTCTGCTGTTTTCGCATATATGCGTATAACGACGCCCATTAAATATTCCCCATATAATATTTTTTATCTTTTCTATGAACTAAAACGAATTCTTGACATTGTATTTGTCCTCACACACGGCCTGACATTTGGTTTTAACTCATTTTGAATGGTTGTAAAAGATTGTGGTCTTTGCAGGCTATAGGTCTTAGAGGTAAACATTCCTTACGTACTTTATGTAGCCCATATGTTTTAGGAGAAATCGCGGTAAAGATTTTTTTATCTTAAGCTAACAAAATAACTTGTCGATGATGTTCTGATGTTTTCCAAGGAAGATTTTTTAAAAATCTTTTCATCGTTTAGCTGGGATAAAATCTTTCCTTTGTTTTATCTTAAGCTTAATAACTTGTCGATGATGTTCTGATGTTTTCCAAGGAAGATTTTTTAAAAATCTTTCCATCATTTAGCTGGGATAAAATCTTTCCTTTGCATACGGCTTTATGCATTAGGACATTTCTGTTTCCTTTGTCAGCTTTCACGTAGCAGATTTCACAGTGTCCATTCGAAATAGGTTCTATCATCTAGTCGTTTTCATGTCGTGATTATTTTTCGAAAAGGAATTATTCTGATTATGGTTATGTTATATTCTGATTATGCTCCTAGCCTCAGCCCTAATTAATTCTTCCATTCGCCTATCTTCGACCGCATTGATCATTGCCTCTAAATCCGTAATTAGTAGGAAAGGTATGTTTGTTGTACGGTAAATATAAGTTAGCTCCAAATCGAAGTATCTCAAGTACTTCTTATCAATTTCAACATTAGTTTTATTCAATAAATTGTCCTCTTGGGACTAAAGATCTCTTTTTAACTGATATAAGTGAAGCGAATTTCTGTTCTAACTTTACATTATTCTTATCAAACTTTTTCTCAGAAAATTGTTCCTGATTTTTTATAAATGTGTTTAAATAGTTTCATAACACCAAATTCTTTCAGATTGCTTGTTATGAATTCAATTTTACGTACTAAATTCTTAAGTTTCCAAACGCAGTTTTTTGCACAAATAAATTTGAATATTGAGCATCTTTTTGAAACTTGCTAACAAGTTTGCATGTGTTAATATTAAAAGAACTACCTTTATCTTCTATGCAACTGCGTGCACTTGTTATGTTGCTGGAGATAAATGATGGAAAGACGCCATACGTTTACAATTAGCAATTTTCTATACAGAGAGTTTAATTCTTTGAATTGGTTATGGACTGAAGTCCATAAACTTGTGTAATATGACTTAAAATGACCGTGACGTTGGCTGTTGTCTCAGAATCTTTTCAATTTTAAAAGTGTCGACCAATTTCTCTCTCACAACACTCATGATCAAGGTATGTTCTTAAGAATAAAGCAAATACAGTTGCTCAAGCTTTTAACTTATTTTAATGCCATCACCTGTATTAATACCACATTGTGAAAAACATATTTGTATATTTGCACTGAGAATTTAACAATCAATTTAACTATATAGAACTTACAAAACAATCTTAAATATGTCAACAGATTGATATATTTAAGGTTTTTACAGGCGATTTCCTTGAAACCGCCTCAGTACATTCTCAAGGACTGTAACAGTATTGCATGTTATTACATTTTATTCTTTTGTTATCACATCAAGACGAATAGTGTGAGGAGCGGCCGAAAGTTGCGAGTTGACTTGAGAAGATCAGAGTTCCTTGAGAAGATCGCTGTTTCGTCTAGACGGTTAGGGTGGCAGTTTTACAATGGGATGTCATGCGCATATATAGAAAAGTGTGGGACCATCTTGAGGAACACCAGCTCGGAAAAACCGGTCATTGAGGTGGTTGTGAAATATAAGGGCGTTACTTGGTGGGGAAATGATGCTCTTGAACAGCAGCACAACTCGGTATTAAACTCGATAAAAAACCCTTCGATTATGGCAAGAAAAGCCCCAGAACGGTACAACCCCCAACTCAAGGTAGGAGAGGTTATGTCTACCACGTGATTACTGTTTTATAGTTCAGTGGTACGGTCGGGAATTTAATTTACATTACAGAATTAAATTTTTGCTTCCTCCATTAAACCTTGTGTCTTCCTGCTTGTCTTTCCTCTTTTTAACTATTTCCTTTGATTTTGTTTATAATCAATTTTTCTTCAAATAAATAAGCAGAATAATAATAAGACATACACACAAGGGAGGTAGTCGTTTGTATGTAAGAGAACTAAGTTGGTAGAGAGAGAAAAAAAGAGAGAGAATGGATACATAGATAGATTGATTGATGATATGGCTAGATACACAGATAGATAGATAGAGAAAAAAGAGAGATAACGATAATTAGGCAATTATACACATAGTATTGGGTTGTNGAGTTCGTGGTGATTATAAAGTCAGATTGAATTTAATAATTATGAAACAATACTACATCTGATTATTATCAAGTAATCATGACCCTGTTTTGACCAAGGGTTCAGAATAATTTTCAACATTAAAACTTTTCAACTGTTTTTACTATTATTAAAAAAAAAATGCGCGCATGAAATAGCGTATAACGCGGAATCAATAAAATTAAGAACATTTAGTATATTTCAAATACTATTACTACTAGCATTACTTTATAACATAAATTGTTTTGCTCCCTTAAATACTTTTTAAAAAGACAGCTTAAACTTTCAAAAGAAATAATTTTGATCTGGCCGTATTTCTGCTTTTATCTCATATTAATTTATTATTCTTTCCAACTTTATTGCTAATTTTCAGAAATGTCCCTCATAACCATATAAACCGTGTGAAATATCGCGAAAATCAGATTAAACCATCGCAACCGTAAAAGAAGAGGGTTCCATCCATTTCTACCACTTGAGTGAAATGTTGAACGATGGGCGGGCCTTTAAAACTTAGGCTGTTGAGCGTAAAGTTCTCACTTAAGGTCTGTTCCATCAAGACCCAAACAAAGTGCCAAAACGCCTTCAAAAGGTCATGAAAAGCGAGCTTTTATCAACTGAATCGATTTAGCAAACCGTTGGAAGGATTGGTTGATTTTAAAAAGGTCTTAAAATAGTTTTGTTAGAAAATGTTAAAACATCGCTGGTGATAACAGTTATACGTAATTTTTGTTATAGGTTTCAATAGGCCTCGGCCCAAAAACATTATTAACTTATTAGACTCTTTCTTGTCAATAATTTTATTTTGTGTATACAAATATATCTATTTTCAAGTCGTTTCATTTATTTGGATATTATTAAATGGTAATAATATCATGACATAGCAGTAATTTTGGCTATGATTTTATAAACAAGGAATATCATTAATCAAGATGAGGATCGACGATGAAGAATTATTTAAGCATATTTAGCCAGCACTAGTATGCCACATTCTCGGATTATAGGCTACAGAATCTAAATAAACCATCATCATACAAACCACTGTTTCCCGAATATCCAGTCGTGATTAGATTATTTATGATTTGATGCATTTGGTGTAACTATAAAGAGGTGGTGGATTTTCAACCTTGTTCCCGATGAAGCTTTACAATCAACATCCGGATATACATAAAGTTTTACTAACAAATCTCCGCTTTGTTTTTTGGCTTCTGGCTAAATCCCCAGATTTGGAAGGATCAGCAAATTGTCCTCACCCTGATGCCTTTTTATTTTCCTAAATTATAGCTGCTAAAATATGAATAACAGTGAGTGCCAAAATTCTTTTTTAATATAGAGAAATATTCTTTTTTACAATTTTATATAATTTTTTGCAAAAAACATTTTTTTTAAATTTTCTTGCGCATAGACAACCGCACTAACTACTTTAATGAATATTGATAAATTGACAAAGAACACCTACAATTTACGTGAAAACAGCAAATTCGAATCCCTCCGTTTGGCCATTTATTTTTCCAATAAGGCGCTAACTAATTACAGGCCTATTCATCAGTCGATCTTATTGTATTTTAGCACGATACACCAACAAAAGAGGACGGTTCTGTAATTGAATAGGGATCCCTCATTGTCTACAACTCGAAGAAAATTCAAACAACAAAATGGAGTTTAATTAAAGTAATTGTTTTAAATTAATATGTTCATCCCAAAATAAACTTTTATAACGGGCATAGGTTTTTAATATTTTTACGAGCACTCGCAACAGCAGAGGTCACATGAACCCTTGGTGATGAAAAGCCCATTTGGGAGTATGTATCCAGCGGCTCTGCATTTGAACCCGGGGCCTTTACCCTACAGTGATAAGCATCATGTCAACGCCCAAAATGGGTATTTCGATTAAAATTTTGATATATAAACAAGCATAAATCATTACTCTTCAATGCAGTTTCCCACTTAAAACAATTTATTAGATGCTAAACTAATCTTTGGTTGACTCGTTTCTGAATTGTTTTTAATTTACTTTTTATTTGATTTATATTATCTTTTATTATCATGCAGGAATAAGTTTTTACTATAAGAATAAGAGTAATCTAGGTACAACATGGTAAAATCTGGAGTCAGATAAATAACATGTCCTAATTAATTAAATATAGCTAAAGACTAATGACAGAAATTAGAAAAAATAACTGTTTAATACTAGAGTGTAGACGAGAATTGAAACATAGTTTTCTGGTACGCCTTCGTTTCTAGTAAGCGGATGTCGAATAGTCCTCAATAGACCTGCATAATAATTACCAATTGAAGAGGCCTCTATTCGCCTAAACATATTTATAACTTCTTGTGTAATCCAGACTTTTTGATGAATTTTTCAAAAATCCGTCAAACAAAAATGAACGGACTTATCAGGATCAAAACCATTGGCAGGATTTCCGTTGATATCCCTTTACAATTCGAGCGAAGTAAAGTGAAGAGAGAGTACGGTAAATCTGTCGATAATAAAGTACATGCGCGATTTAAAAAGTGTCAATTTTCCTTTTCGTGCCCTTCAATTAAATTATCTCTCATATTCGCCGAATCGTGAAATTTTCCGGTTGTTCTGGCAATATCCCACACAGAGAATCCCATTTTCTCTCGCGTTTTCACAATGTAGGTTTATAATAGCTTTACCCATAATTTAAAAATACGGAATGACCTACAAAAATCAAAACCATTTCACCCAAGTATCACTTTGCAAGATGAACGAAATACAGTGAACCACAAGTAACTGTGGAAGGAATTAATTTTGAGTAGTCCAAGAAAATCACTTACCTGGGTGTTGAAATGGACTCGAAACTAAACTTCAGCGACCATATTAAAACTATAGTGGGCAAAAATAAAGCTGCCATCAGAATCCTTTTCCCGCTACTTAGGAAAGAAACGGTCATGAGTGTAAACAAAAATCTCTTAGTATACGGCATAATTGTTAAACGTCCGTTACTCTATATGCCTGTCCCTCCTGAACCCACACTTGTAAGACCGACTTAAACAAGTCCAGATTTTTCAGAACAATTCTTGCGCCTTGCCACTAGCTCCAGTTGAAGATGACAAATTATCACATTGCATGAAATCACGAACGCTACATGGATTGGTGAAGAGGTGAATGAGACGACAACTAAATTCTTTCGGGTGATTAAAAAGTCCCAGAATACACTTTTTCATTTTATTGGTGCTTGGTGCGTAACCCAAAACACTAATACCAGCCGAAACGGATTGTAGATAATTAGTAATTTAATCATTTCATGTAAGATTATATTATTTATTCGTTAATAATGTAATTCTTTATTAATTTAATTATTGAGTTACTTATTTATATTTTTATCAATTTCCTTATTCATGTATATTGATTTATACACGCATTTATTTACCTATTTATAACATTTTATATATATATTTACATCAGTACTTAGTTACATTCCTGAGCATGTGGGTTTTTCAAAACAGTTTACCCCCGCAAATCTCGGACATTTTTGTTGTTAAAAATCACGCGGTTCAAATCTATTACCCGGAGCGCTTTCTCCGTTAAAATTATTCTATTTTTCTCAGTTGCCTAATGTAATTTTTTTTTGCAAAAATAAATTTATATATCACATCTTATCTAGAACTACAGATAGTACTTGAACATTACACGATTGATTTATTATTAAAGCAAAATAAACTTCTACCAATAATTTTACATGTTATTATTTACATTTTATTACTATTATTTACACGTTGTAATATACACAAAACTAGTTTAATTTAGGTTTCATCCACTGGTTTCCTCATTAGTTAAAAAAAATTCAAAAAGAAATATTGTAATCAAGTAGGATTTGGCCTTCTTCAGTAGTCTCACAGGGTGCTGTTGTTCTAGTAGCCAGTTCGCTTTGATACATGGATGCCCTTGGAGACGTTTGGGCATATCTTAATAAGCTCACAAAATAAACAATTATGTGAAGACTCGTATTTAACAAAATTTAATAGATAAAGCTAAATAGTGATTAACCATTTTATCATATAAGATAATGGAGTTTCGGCATCGTAAAAAAAGTACTTACACTGTGCCCATTACACGTATCGAATGAATCGCACCAACATCAAAAAATCGGCACACTTTGGAAAAAATTTAAAATAAATAGAGTATGAAAAAAATTCTTTTAATAAAATGTATTGCAAAAGGGGGAAACTCTCGAACGAGTAGTTTGCCGTAAAGACAAATATTGCCTTGCTGTTTTATATACAACGTGTGGGTATTTTTCCCAGATATTGAAGGGATCGGTTTGTAGGAGATGGGTAATTTTGAAGGTAAGGGATAATTCATCTTTCTTGCTCAATCTCCGTTCCTTTTGATCACTTACTCAATGGTAACTCCACAAGTCATAAGTGATTGTTATTTTTGAAACACTATCATCAATGCCGCCTTCTGTACTGTGAGTTATGTGATTTATTTTTTACGCCTTATTAAAATAGAGAGTTTTGAACAATGATATGTTTAAAATTGTTCAAAACTCTTCCTTTTTATAAGGATTAACACTTAATGACGTCTATAACATTTGTCCTTTTTAGCCAGAAACGCTTTCTTGAAGACAAATAGAATTTATAGAATTGATTTAATTTTGAAAGTTTTGAATTGCATAAATAATTTGCTATGTATAATCTAGTTTTCAGCCAAGAAATCAGTTGTAACAAATAAATTGCAGTGTCCGGAATAA